TCAAAATATCGCTCCGAACATCCGACAACATATGCCGTGACATTGGAACCTCACGCGAACGTTGGGAATCCTCCGCTATGGCCACATTCGACGTGACCCCAGCACGCCATTTTATTATCATGACCACCTATAAAACCAGACGATCACGATGAAGGATCGGGAACTCTTCAGTGGATATACGGCCAGATTTCCATCATATTCGGACGGTCGTATGATCAATAAGTGATTGGCCAAAGACTGGTGTATGGGCCATGAATTTCTTCGGGACCACACGCTGTTGAACAGGCTTTCGATGAATAAGCGAGAGACAGAAGTAGTCTAAGCCTTTGGGATCAACTCTTGCGATTGCGACCCTTATCACAGTAAAAGGTGCACTTTCCATTCCGTAACCGCTTGATTCCGCAATGCAGACTTTGCAACATAGGCGTGGCGTAAAATAATCATCAGCGTTTACAGTAACACAAGATATTGATTTTTTCGAGGCCTTCGCTACATGAGCTATTACCGCTCTGCAGAATTAGTAACACGCGTGTCGAAGGTTCTAAAAAATCAATGTCATGTGTGGTTTTCGATTCTGGTGATTACTTAATGCCACGCCTATGTTGCAAAGTCTGCATTGCGGAATCAAGCGGTTACGGAATGGAAAGTGCACCTTTTTACTGTGATAAGGGTCGCAATCGCAAGAGTTGATCCCAAAGGCTTAGACTGCTTCTGTCTTTTGGTTATTCATCGGAAGCCTGTTTAATAGAAAATTCATGGCCCATCCACCAGTCTTTGGCCAACCACTTATTGATCATACGACCGTCCGAATATGATGGAAATCTGGCCGTATATCCACTGAAGAGTTCCCGATCCTTCATCGTGATCGTCTGGATTTTATAGGTGGTCATGATAATAAAATGGCGTGCTGGGGTCACGTCGAATGTGGCCATAGCGGAGGATTCCCAACGTTCGCGTGAGGTTCCAATGTCACGGCATATGTTGTCGGATGTTCGGAGCGATATTTTGAATGTATATTTACGAGCGCTCGCATATTGTAACATCCACAGAGACATCAACATCAAACAATCAGAACGGTAATGAATACTGAATGGGTTCAGGACGGCGATAAATGGGGATTAGTAGCGCCGCAAACGCGGCGCGAGGTCGTGCACATCTGCGTTTGTGGTGAGCAGCAGTTTGCATTTGTAGGTGCTGAGAAGATGAGAAAATAGCAACTTCAACAAAGGGACCTGTTCGGGGCCAACTGTTGGCTCAAGCCACTCATTAACTCGTTTTCTCGACGGTAACGGGGTTGCATACGGAGGCAATAGAATTGCGCAACGTGCCCTCAATTGTCATTGTTGCGATCGACAGGGAGCCCCATGATAAAACACATTCCCGCCCCAATAGTTGCGGTGTGAATTTCAATCGCTAGGCTCTTCGATCGCCGAGGACGTTGGACAAGGTTGTTTCCTTCAGGTTTCATGCAGAATGTTGTCCAGGGACGGTTCTTCTGGCGCAGGATTTCAGTCAGGTTGTGTCTTACCCTCCTTTCTGGAACTGCGGACCCCGAAGAAATAGCTGGAATGACAATTAAACTAGGCATGTAAGGAAAGAATGCCGACTGACCGGTGCTTGTTCCTGCTGCCAAGCGATGTTTTTAACAAGACGTTTTATTCCTTCCCTATTCCCCCAGTCATTCAGGCTGGATATGGTGATTTTATGGTTTCAGGAATGGTTGGAAGATAACGGACAAAGGCATGTTGCCTATAGATGGAGCCCAAGGCGTTCCAACGTCCCTAGAATGTTGTTGTTTGTTGATCTCTTCACATCAAGAACGGCTTCGTCGTTTTGGTAAAGTCAGCTGGGCGAAGTCAGAAGGGCGCCGTCTCAATGGCGATCGGGAAATTGCCTCCCCCCTGTTAATGCGCCTTTCCTTAGGGAGTATCTGGACCGGGTCTGAAGTTGGCATAGAAGACGGGTTGATTCAGATTGTAAATGTTGAGTAATTGGGCAGCTTTTTCCTGGTCCTTGCAAGTTCGAGAAGTGGGCGAAACCTTGTTGATTGCAGCCTATTAAGGAGAAAGCTTTCCTGTTTTGCTAATCAGATAAGGACGGGTTGGATTGCTTGCCCATGAGGGCCTATGAGCAAAAGGATGCTTCTCGAGTCTGAAATTTCCAAGATTCAATGGTTTTCCACTGAGACCCTTCACAAGTAATTTTCAACAAACCCCCATGATGCCCATAAAATACCGTATCCATTGCGACCGATTAGGCGTATGGAGAGTCGTTTCCGGAAAGCATCGCCTAATGGCAGTGACAAGCAACGAATAGAACGACATTCTTTCCGATTAGACGTCGTGTAGTCGTCGTCTTCGTTGTAGCCGTCGTAGTAGAGTGCGTGTTTAAGTCATCGTAATGGAGTGGAGTGTGATTGACGTGTATGGAGCAGAAATAGCGGTAATCCGCGTGTTTCTCTCCTCGACGCCATTTTCGCGAAGCGCAACGCGCGATTACGACATGCTCCCAATGATATACGATGGCTGGTCATTTGGTCTTGCAGGATTCTCCATATGGGAGAATGAAGTATGCTGTTCATAAGATGAACTGCATGAGATTGGCGTTCGAATTCGATTGGGCTAAAAAGAGTGGCTCATCGGCGGCTGCGACGGCGGCCGTTGTGCGTCCGGTCTGGGAGATCGTTGGATAAGCGGTGGAATGCTGCAGCAAAACGTTGGCTCTGCGAAAAAAGAAGTTCACCGCAGAAGGGGACCGATGGAAAATAACTCAGCGCGTGTGGAAAGAAAAGAGAAATGCTCTGGAGGAAGTTTCAGCGATACCGTTGAAATCTGAAATAGCGGATTCCTCGTTTTATCGCTGGTTTATTTATGTGATTGGTCAAGCGACGGCTCGGGTGTTTTTTGGCTTTTTTCTTGGAGTCGTAAATAAGTAACAAGGAGAGTGTTGTGTGGCGGACATGCAGCGATAACGCAACAATGGCGGCTTGATTGACAAGTCTGCTCATAATCGTTGCATACGCACACGGTCATTAATATTGGGACATCTTGGCGGATTGACCTTCGGATTATGAATATCCGGTGTGTATTTGTGCAGGATTAGGATTAACGCTTTTAGGAGTGATGTAGCCAAGTTGGGGTCACTTCACCTGAATGTGCTAGCGACAATGTATTTTGTGGTGGCAAACCGGGGCCGAGAGGTTTCTCTAACTCCTATTTCAATCCTGTGGTTTCATACTGTTTCCTGAACGTGATGGGCTGTTGAGTGAGTTGCTCTGAATTCATGCACAAAGTTATCAACCTCATTTTCCGGAATGGGTGTTGATAATACCGTGCTGACCACAGGGAGACTCATTCAGCTGCTGTAAC